TTAGGGGGCGACAGCCACACAAAAAGTAGGCGTTCGCTCTCGAAAATGGAGAAAAGTAACTTCTGAGCGCCGGGCTGAAGCTGAGAAAGGGTGGCTATCTGGCCCCTTCGACCCAGGGTCACCTGAGGCCGCCGGGCTGCTTTCCAACCGCTTTGGGGTTATGCAGAAAGGAAAGATAAGGTGTGTAGACGACATGTCTGCCTCGCTGATAAATGCCACGACCTTTGCTGAAGAAAAGATCACCCTACACAATGTGGATGTTATCTGTGCGGCCATCGGCCGGTGGTATCAGCTCAGACAGAAGGCAGGCCTCCCCACGAAGCTCCTAGCAAAAAGTTTCGACTTGAAGTCAGCTTACAAGCAGCTCCCAATTGCTTCCTGTGCAAGGAGACACGCTGGCTTGGCCCTCAGTGATCCCAAAGGCAGATGTAAAGTTTTCCGATCCATCTCTCTTCCTTTCGGTGCTACGCAGTCAGTTTTCTCTTTCAACAGGATGAGCAGAGCCGTGTGGGCGATTGCTGCAAAGGGGCTGTGGCTGATGTGGACCTGCTTTTACGATGATTTTCCAATCTTCTCAGAGCCAGGTCTCGAGAGCAACACAGACCAAGCAGCTGAAACTTTCTTCACCCTGCTTGGATGGGCCTTCGATAAGGAAGGTGACAAGCATACCTCCTTCAGTGCCAAGCTCAGTGCCCTGGTGGTTGTTGTGAACCTCTCACCTCTCAGCAAAGGCATGGTCGAGATTCTGAACACTGAAGCCCGAGTTTCAGAGCTCATTAGGGACCTTCTTCAGGTCACCCAAGACCGACAGCTCTCTCAAAGCCGAGCTAAACATCTCGCAGGGAGGATGTCTTTCGCAGGTTGCCAGGTTTTCGGAAGACTTGCCAAGTCCTGCCTCCGGGTCTTCCATGCTAGAACGTTGTCCAGGGACGGCAAACTCGATGACGAGGCCCTTGCTGCTGTCAAAGCTTATTGTGACATTCTCAAAAGAGCCCCGGCGCGACAAGTCTCTGCAGCGAAGAAAGAGTGCTTCTACCTCTACACTGATGCGTCTTTAGAGGAGGGAGAAAACGGCCCCTGTGCAGGATTGGGAGGAGTGATTGTCGATCCTACGGGCTTGCCCTTACAATTCTTCTCGTGGTTCCCCGAGCAGGAAGACATGACGATGTTGGGCATTGACCTTGGGACGAAGTGCATTTTCCTTCTTGAGCTCCTTGCTGTTTGCATCGGTTTCTGGTTATGGGGCGACATCTTCGGTGGGTCTTCTCTTGTTGCTTTCACTGACAATGAAGCAGCCAAAGCCTGTCTAGTCAAAGGAAGCTCTGCGCATCCGATTGCCAACAAGCTTCTCTTTTGTCAAGCAGTGCTCGAGGTTGAGAGAATGTGCCTTCCTTGGTTTTCCAGAGTTCCCTCTCTCTCCAACATTGCCGACGGACCCTCCAGAAAAGATGGCAATGAACCTTTGCTTGAGGGACTACCCTTGATCGACTTCAACTTTGCCGAATTCCTCGTTTGCTTTAAAAAGGGGGAGAGCTCAGACTTCGGCTCGTTTCAGTAAGGTGCTGAGACCTACTCAGCCACAAGGTGCCAGAGCCACAGTCATGTTCGACCCCACTTGGACAAAAAGAAGATGTCCGAATTCTGTTTGCTTCACTGTATATGCATGATCTCTTTTGAATGTGGTTCTGAATTTATATATTCCCATGATGACCGATACGTTCTCATCTCGATGCCGGTCCATTGACGAGATAAGCGTGCCAGCGAGGTACGAGCAAGCGTTTTATCTTGAAAATGGAAAATGACCTTTCATGTCATTTAGGCATCTCTTGTGCTTTGAGTCTTTGCAGCATGTTGCATTTTGCACAGTGCATGTGCTCCCATTTTCTTGAAGAGAGTTCTTGTCTTTTCATGTCAGCTTCCTGATCTTTGACTTCAAGCAACATTCGGCTTGAGCTGCAGCTCTGAGGAAAGAATTTTCACCCGCCTCTCCCTCCCCCTTCTCTTTAAACACGGGTACGCCACAGAGTTGTTCTCTTCAGGTGTGCAGTTGTGATGATCCACGCTTCAGGCAACACTCTTGCCTGAGCAAAGATGAATAAGGAACATGCTTGCCCGCCTCTCCCTCCCTTTTCTGTGTATGACAGGTTCTCTGCAGATGTATGCCCGACAGGAATGCAACACCGTTGCTGGTCCATGCTGCGAGTGGACCTCATTTCGGTCTAAGAGTACCTGAGACTTCTCTTTTGCTCAAGCTGGCTGTGCCTCGTGTCAGTTGAACTCATTGAGAACTCGTCATGGAGCGAACTTTGACACCAGCTCAGCTTAACGAGTTTCGTCAGTGGCTACGCACCTTGAACATGAATTCCCTGATGAAGGTGGCTGAGGTTTTGGAAGACGTTCTTGGAGAGCGAGAGGATCTTCGAAGAGAGGAGGCAACACTGCGTTTGCGTCAGTGGCAGTTTGTGGACCCCGAGCATGAACCTGAGCGACCAAGTGACAATGCTGCGTCAAGCTCTCAGCATCAACCACAAGCTTCTTGACGTGAGCGACTCTGACTCACCGTATCCTGTTTCAGGCCGACTCACTTAGGCCGAACCTGTGAGAGCAGTAGTGGCCGGGGGAGAGCTCAGACTTCGGCTCGTTTCAGTAAGGTGCTGAGACCTACTCAGCCACAAGGTGCCAGAGCCACAGTCATGTTCGACCCCACTTGGACAAAAAGAAGATGTCCGAATTCTGTTTGCTTCACTGTATATGCATGATCTCTTTTGAATGTGGTTCTGAATTTATATATTCCCATGATGACCGATACGTTCTCATCTCGATGCCGGTCCATTGACGAGATAATACATAGGATCGATGAGCACACAAAATGTCCACAACAAAACTCCTTTGAAAAGGGGTTCTGTTAGGGGGCTGACTGTTGTCTAGGGTCCCTTCCCCTGAGAACCTCGCTGTGGCCGCCGTAAGCCCTACAGCTTCAAGCCGCAACCCTAAGCCCCAAAGGCACCTCAAATCGGAGGACCTCACACAAACTCCACTGCCGGTGAAAGGCCCATGGGTTCAGAACTCTTTTGAACTTATGGGTCTTCTCCTCTCGTATGTGAAAGGACATCTTTGCCGAGAGGCTTTTGGTTTACAACGTGTCACAAGAGTCGCGTCAACAGGCCCGGGGCGGTACGGTGAATTGACGACAGTTGCTTGCCATTTGTGTTTGCCCCGCCTGCGCCTGGAAACCAGGCCAAGGGCGCATGAATGTTCGATCAGCAGACAAAAATGATGGGTAAGCACTGGGAGCTTCTCATGTGCTGTTTCTGATACGCGGATGTGGAGGGGCTAGCCTTTACCCCCCAAGCCTGACAACCTATACCCTAAACCCAACATATGCAACCCATACCCTGCACCCTGAACATACTTAGCGACAATACAGACAACCAAATGAATTCAAAACAAAAAAGCAAATTATCTATGATTAAAGTATGATTACGCCACCACATTACTTGAGCTTGGTTTGTTTGAGGGTGCAGGGGGTTTGGGATGTTTTGAGGGCATGGGCTTTGGGGGCAAGTGGGGTTTGTGGTTTTCCGGTGGTGTGTTTTCAGGATTTGGACTTTTATTGTGCAGAGGCCCCCCTTGGTGTGTCCTTTGCCAGTGCCGCCAATTTCAAGTTAGCTCGTGTGATGGTCCCCGTAGCTGGTAGCTAGCTGCTGATGACAGCCCGGCGTTTACAAAAGGCAGGCGATCCTCGCGGCGATGCTTCTGAGGACCTTGGAGGAAGGCAGCGTGCTGGGCTTCGGCCTTGAAATGTGGGTACTGGCAACTTGCTGCACAAATTGTGCAAGGCTCGTAAGCTGACCACCTTTGAATCAGTTTGGTGACAAAGCTTTCGTGCCTTTCAGCCTCGCCCATGGATCTCTAACGCTACCGAGAAGATTTCTGGTTGCGGGCCTGCCACATCAGTTTCAGCCTATTGGGGAACTTGTTGCCAGAGTTCGAGATCCACAGTCAGGAGGCGGAGATCAGCCTTCAATGAGTTCCATCGGAGTCATATGTCCCACCAGCCATGCGCAGATCTTTGTAGTCTCGTGTCTCCACAGGTGCGGCGCCTGGTGTCAGTGAACAGACGCAATTGCAAAAAGTGCACAAAGCAGAGCTTTGGGACCTTCAGGAATTCAAGGTGCGATCGCTTCTCGAGGTAGGATGTGTGGCCTCATGGCACCTCTTCCAAAGGTCCTGAGCCACCATCCATTGACCAAGCACGTAAACAAGGCCCCATAACTGTCCACATGCTCTCCAAAGAAGAAGCAGGAGCCGTCGGAAGCCATCGTCATTGCCGTTGGAGATGCCGGAGGTTGATGTTCCTTGGCATATCGATGAAGGTCACCCGGAAGCGCTTGCCAAACACTATGGTACCGTAGCCAAGACGCGGCGAAGGTGAGCATTCCTTCCTGGCCAGGAGCACGTCTGCGTGCAACGTGTGGGCGGGCAGCGCATGCGAGCCTTTCGACACAAGTGCTGGCTTCCGAGTCGCCAGTGATCGGGCCATTTCGGACGTTTACCAGACACCCTGCAACATTGGAGCTGTGCCGTACATGCAAAAATGTGGCACATATGTGTCATGTGCCGAGCATCAGAAATCTTCCCTGGGAATTGTTGAAGGGGGTGCCGGCCATATTTTCCTGATGTGAGGTCCCTAGAGCCTGGCCTGGTTCGTGCCAGTGGCCGGGACCACTGCGCAGGTTTCGGAGAGTTTTCGTAAGCTTTGAACGCTTGGGCTGTTTGAGTTCTCGCACTGAGTCTGTGGCAGCTGATGGGTCTTTGATGTGGGGCACCGCTGTTCCCACCGCCGTGCCTGCCGAGCAGGGATGGCAGCCTGTGGTTCGGCGAGTTCCTGGATGACGTATAACCCCAGTTGTAACTGTACTTTTCAGCCCCCTGAGTCCCCTCAGTAGGTTTTAGGTAGATTTAGAATTGCGGTTGTAAGTATCCATGAACCTCTAAGTATGCCTTATGGACAGCCAGCAACCTTCGAGACAAATTCGCGTCAGCCATGGATCGTGCTGGACATGGTCCTGTCGCTCTGCAGCGTCGGCAGTTTGGCCGGTCGTACGTTGATTTGTCCTTGCGTGAAGCTCTCTTCGGGCAATGCTCGTTCGCTGCGCCAATGCGACGTGTTGGCCTACGATGAGTGCGATAATGCTGCAACGCTGAGCGATGCTGTGATGCAATGTGTCCCTGCTATCCAAGGCGTTCTTGCCCGTCCGAAGAATTGGACCATTTTGTGTAAACACCCGGTTTGCCCCGAGTTCAGCCTTATGCACTGCGGGCCGGTCTGCTTCGAGGTAGGAGACAGCGGCTGCTTGAGCTTGGGCTGGAAGGGATCGCATGAGAGAAAGGGGAAGTCAGCACTTGGAACGTTGGAGTCTACCATTAAACCCAAAAGTTCTGAATCCAGAAATAGCCAGCCAGTAGCCAACCTTTCACCTTGAGAACTGTCAAGATGTGCACCTGGCCTTCTCAGGGCCCATCACGTAGAAAGGCGCAGGCAGCGACATACGTGAGGCAAGAGCTGGTGCAAGACCAACGTTTGCTTCTTGCCTGTTTGCTCTCGTGGCTCGCACTTTGGCATGGACAGGCGGAAGGCCAGGGTACCATTAGGAGCACATGCAGTGCATGCTGGAGTATAATGTTTGGAGAATCCGTCCAGTCATCTCCAGATAGAGAATTCGCACCCTGCCATTTTGACAAGCGGCACACCTCGCGTCGAGGTGCCAAAACTCCAATCTTGTTGTCTGGGCCCGAGAGCTGCGAAGCTCTACATGGGTTCAGGCGCTGGCTCTTGATTGGCTCACTTGTGATGGCGATTCTTTGACGCACTGCGAAATGGGCATGTCACAAAGTCGGGGGTCTCTCACATACACCCAAAACTTAGTAGGCATGACCGTAGCAGAATGGCCCAAGGACAGAGGGCCACAAACATTGCTGACAGGCCTTCCCAGTTCTGAGTTGCAAAATGTGCCCAACCAAAACGCTAACGCTCCATGCTCCCTGAGTTGGATTTCGCGGAGACCTGAGCTTGGGATGTTCCCCCCTATAGTGCCCCCCCCCATTATCATCCCTGTTAAGGACTGTTAGTATAAGGGGGGGCACATCCCAAACCTGAACTAACCAACACTTAGTTACAAGACTGCTCGGCTGACCCTCTCTGTGTGTGGCGCATCGCGCCGAGACGCGAGCCGGTTTCTGGAGGCTGAACGCCGCAGGCACAACTCCAAGCAGGAACGGGCATACATTGTTGCAGCCGTATCATAGTATCTGACCCTAAAGCCTAAGCCCCAAGCCCTAAGCCCAAGCCCTAAGCCCGAAACCCTAAACCCCAAACGCTGAACCCACGTGAATTGCAGCGTTTCCCGTCAAGCTGCAGAGGCTCACTTGCTTTGAAACCCCGGCTGAACATTTGAAGGCACGGCCGCTTGGGGTCTTGATCTTTCTCATTGTCGGAATTGCCCTTAAACCCTAGACCCGAAACCCTTTGAAGCAGTTGTCGAGTCGGTCGAGGGTCTGCCTGCAATGTGCAGAGCGCAAAGGCGATCAGGAGTGCAGCTTCGGTAGTCAGCGTCATCAAGAAATCTTTGTCATCTGCTCATCCAGTTGCGATGGCTGCTACGGTCAGGGCTTCTTCATGGGTCACATGAACTCTCCTGTTTGACGGAGTGAGAGGTATGGCCCTGATCTGCGCTCTAGTGTACAGGTACGCAAGCTTGACCCTGAAGTTTCATCACTGGCACGGAGTTGCCGTCAGCAAGACTTGTGCCTCAACGGCGCGCTTGGACGCCCATATTTGTCTCTTCAGACCCTAAACCCTAAGCCCTAAGCCCTAAGCCCTAAACCCTAAACCCTAAACCCTAAACCCTAAACCCTAAACCCTAAACCCTGTCATATTTCCATCAGATCCAGAGGCCCTGCCAAAGGTCGTGCAAGTCGGGTGAGTTCTGAGACGATCTCGCGTGCATGACCTTGTGCAGCGCATGGTGAGATGCGTTGCCTGGCTGATGTCTTAGCCCTCTGACGTCTGGGCAAGCATCTCCTCGACCCCAACTGCTGTGCCGTACGTGTAGAGAGTCTCATGGAGGAGGTCCTCGTCGCTGTGAAGTCGGGCCCTTGTCCTGCCTCACGAGACTGAGACCCTGAGGGTCCCGAGCCCCTTGTTTCGGCCTTCTATGCGCTCGAAATCGGAAGATCTGAACATTTCTGACAGGAAGAACATGGAATCCTTGGAGTTTCTTACATGTTGCGTGGCGCTGTGGAATGGCTTGCTTCGATCCTTTTATCGCCCGGGTGCAATCTCACGGAGCACGTCCGCGGCGTCAGTGCAGTGACCCATCGGCCAGAGGCTCGGGCTCTCTCTCTAAAAAGGCTTGGCTCCAAGGCTTGAATCCCAAACCCACCATGGAAGCACTGCTCTCCTGTCTCCTGTGGGTTTTCGAAAAACCTGAAACTTTGAAGCCGGTTTGAAGATGGTTGAGTCCCGGAAGCTGTGATCTGATGTGCACCCTCTGATAGCCCGCCGACAAGCTAGGTGTTACTCTTTGTATGAGGACTTGCGTTGTGGCATTGCACCAATCAGGAAGGCTTCCGTGGTACGCCTGACATGGAGCGGGGTTTCTTCTGAGCCTTTGAAGTGCTTAAGGCCCTGAAAGTGACGCCCCAGACATCCCGGGGCTCCTCCGACTTCGGACTCGTGGGCCCTAAACACGTGCTTGGCCTAGTGCAGGCCTCCTCCTGTCCGTCTGCAGGCCGCTAATCAGGCTCTGCGGCCTGTAGTTCTTTGCGCACTGCGCCCTCAATGCCCCGCAGTTGTCTAAAGATTGCCCCTTATAAGGGCCTGTCAGCCAGAAGTGCTGGCTGAAAACCGCGTTTAGGGCATAAGACCTTAAGGGATTGTCGGACGACACCTTGTTCTGGGAGTCTCCGGCTTATCGTCGCAGATCGATGCGCCTTGCAGACTTCCTGGCCACCCTTGTAAGTGTCTCATGCTCTGCTTCATGCCGTTTCTTGCCCGCTGGCTGTACCCTTTGCCAGCTGCACCAGCGCCCAGGGCCAAAGCCAACTTGAGAGGGCCTTGTTATTTGCTTCTTGTGCCAAACGTGCCCAGCACGCCGCGACCTCTCTCAACATTCGTGTCATTCGTAGCAACGCCCTGCAGCGACTCTTACGAGCTTCAGGCTTCGAAGGCCATGCACACCAGGAAGGCTTCAAGTGCATCGAAGGCAAGCGCAGTCTTCGCCACCAGCTTGGTTCAAACAGAGCCAAGGGCCAAACACCCGAGAAGGTACCGAAAAACCTAGACACCTGCACTTCCAAGCCTGTCAGTTGCAGAAGAACTCCGCATGTCACAATCTCAACCTGGAACATTCTGAGTTGGGGTCCGTCTTAGGAGAACTCAGGAGAGTCCTGATGCTGTCAGTGGCCGCAAGCGAATGGAAAGCCTCCGTTTTGGCCTTGCCCAGTCGAATCCACAACCTTTGTTTGAATTTTTTATGAATCCTCTTGAGGCCTGTTTGTGGTGTACCTGTTGAACACCCCTTTGCCTTTGGTGTGCATGGCCTTGGAAGCCTGAAGCTCGTAAGAGTGAAACGTTCAGACACGGAAACAGTGCCGCCACCGAACACGTACAATTCTGTCGGTGGTGACGAAGGCAAGAAGGTCAAGCTTGGGGCTTCTTGTCAGGCTCCCTACAACTAGGAGTCATCCAGACAAAGCGGCAAGGTGGCTCCATTACTTAGACGAGTTTCAGTGTCGGCAAGAAGAGTACAACTCGTGATTGGGCACGTTCCGCATTGCAACACTCTTTCGAGCGGGGGCTGGCTGCCAGGCTTTTGGTTCGCACATGCGGAGATAAGGACGTGGCGGTTACTCATCGCCCGGCTGATCCCTAGGACTTGACGTCGTGGAGCTTTGCCCTACATACTTTGCCTGGGGCGGTCGAGGGGTGTGTTTCGTGGGCCCCGTGGGGATGCCTTGTCTGTGAAGTTGACACTGGCCTGATACATCGTGAATTGGCAGGAAGAGGGTCTACTCCCTCACCCCCCCCCCGTCTCCAACCCCCACCCGTCCACCTCGCAATGTAGTGTACCAGGCCATTTCCATGAGAGTTTGTGGGATAAGGAATACATCTCCTGCCGTGCCAGATGCAAGGTATGTTGCCAAGCCCAAAAGAGACTTTGGAAAAGCCGCTGTGGTGTGCCAGAGCCCTCACCATCACAGAGCTCACGCAGATGGAGTGATCTTGCAGTAGAATGCCGCAAGCAGCATGTGGTAGCTTTGGTAGCCTGCAAGCAGGACGTGTTGCAGATGCTCAGCTGCAATGTCCCAACTTGCCGCTGAAGAGGTTTTGCGTCGTTGTGTGACTGCCCTCCCAAGGGCCGTGCAAAGGCTGCCTGGCGGCCTTCTGCGTTTGCCAAGGTGAAGACAGCCAGGTACGCGTACATTCATGCCTGCCTCCTCTTCGGCTTTTGATCATGTTGCTGCAGAGAAGGGCGCAGGCCCCGGGAGGGGGGGGGGGCGACAGTGAAGTGTTGACACATTGACGAAGGGGAAGCTGTCGAAGCAACTTGATGTCCATTTTCAAATGCTTGTTGGCAACCATGAAGTTCCTAAAACTCCCCCCTCCTGCAGTCTTCTCAGCGGCAGGATTCCTGTAGGTCCTGCGCACCCATCCCTGGTGATGCTCCTCTGTGTTAAGTTGTAGGTGTGCATGGCGGCAGCAAGTTCGGCGTGCGCGAAGGGACTCTTGTGCATGCGCAGGAATGTCTCGCTGCTGTGATTCCCACTGCCCGAGCTGTGAGCTTTCATCCGTCCCCGACGACGTGAGTCGCCACCGGAGGAGGTTTCCCCAGAGACGGACAGTAATCGGAGCATTGTCCCATTGTGACCGTTTCGACATGTTGCAGCTGCGGGTGTAAGAATGAAGGTTTTCATCTCGCTTCCAACAGCTGCCATACATCAACTTCCAACACCCACCTGCCCTTGATACAAGCTGGTGTCTCTGGTAGCTGCTCAATAGGGCTTGTGGGTAAGATTGGGTAGGAGTGACAGGGCAATCTGACTCAATACATTCACGGAGCCAACCGCATCACGAGATATAAAGCAATTTCTAATGCTCGCGCCCAGTGCAGAAGCATGAGAAGACAAAGCTGTGCCGCCTCTTGCCAAGAGTAGAAAGTGCATCTCAGTTCGCTTGCCGCTTCCATCGTTCAACGACAGTCTCACGGGCCCGCTACACATGCATACTGCTCAAACCCTAAACCCTGAACCCTAAACCTTAAACCCTAAACCCTAAACCTAAACCGACAGAATGAACGCCTTCGTGGGCGGCGCCAGGTCTCGGTAAGCTGGTGCCGAACAGTTTGATAGGGCTTTCGTGACCTGGCAGTCCGGGCATGTGTGTTGGTGCCAGTGAATCTGCTTCTTCACGGTGAACTTCGACAATGCCGACGGGTTCGAGCCGCGACTCAAGGAATCAGAAACCCTGTTGCCTCCGAGCTTACCTGCGCAGCAACAAGAATGTGCTGCGGAGCATGCTCTCAGGTTTAGATCGGTGTGTGCGTACTACAAGTCCCGTGCCCAATCAACATATCGTGGTGCGATGAAATACTCATGTTGCGTCGCAATGATCCGGCTGAACGGCTGAACGGCTGAACGGGTGAAAGAGATCCCTTTTGCGGCTTGACTCATCCACCTGTGCATATTTCCCCTGCTTGCAGCTTCTTCCAGCTTCCTCTCCTCTCTTTTCCAGGGCGTGTTTTGCACTTCCGCGGCCGGGGCTGCATCCATGTGACATATATGATGGGAACAGAGGACAAGACATGCCCCCTGTCACTGAGATGTACCGCCCTGGTGCCCTATCCCTCAGAGGTCAGTTCATCCTCGGGTCCTCGCATGTCTGTGCGCAGCTCTCGACGTTCAACGCGTCAGAATGCCTGGCTGAGCCAAGCCTTTCAGTCTCAGTTGGATGAGCACTACTTGGCTTCGACGTTGTCCAGCTGCAGAATGTAGGATTCAAACTGTTAGACCAATAGGCTTCAACATAAGTACCAGATTGAGGCGCGGGGCTGGCAGATCAACGTGAAGTTTCGTGCTCGTCAGTTCACTTTCAGCTTCCGCAATCTGATGCTGCCTTGATGTCTGGTACCTTAAGGAAAGATGCCTGTAGGCCGCTGGGGACGTAATTGCTTTAAGCACGACCTGTGCAAACTTACCTCCACTTCAAGCTGTCCACGTTTTCCCACAGTACGGTCCGTAGATTCAAGCCGGGCTCTGTGTCGCGTGGGCCCGAGATGGCAGTGTTGGTCTCCAGTGTAGCAGGTTTCCTCATGGTATTTCTCTCGTAGCTTCAAGGCAGCAGCGGCTCTGACATGGAGTTCATCCGCATCCTTCGCCGCTTTTGCAGGAAACGGGGTGCCTGTCCTCAGATTTCGTTTGCCCAAGCCTTCGCATGGTAGAACTGGTGGAGGGAGCGAAGAGAGCAGGGGACTTGTCAGGATTCAGCCCTCTGAGTGGCGCTGCGACAAAGGTGGTAGACTGGTTCTGTCCTGCCCTCAGAAGCAGGTGGCGGTGCTATGGAGTCTAGACATTCCACTGACCTTTCTGGCTCAGCAGTTTGTGACCTCATGCGACCTCTCAAAGCTTTCAAGCCTCTCAAAGGCTTTCAAGCCTCTCAAGTCTTCCTAGGCTTGCTAAACCCTAAACCCCAAGCCCGAAGCCCTAAGCCCGGCCTGCTAGGGGAGACCCGAGTTCAACCTAGAACATGCCTCAACCCAAAACCCCACCTAAACCCCAAACCCCTAAACCCTAGACCCTAAACCCTTCTCCATGAACCCTTGGATCCGCCTACGAGCCAAAACCCGTGGCACAAGCTTCAGAGAACTGCGGCGGGGTTAGGGCTGACGGTTTAAAGTTTCGGGTTTGGGGTTTAAAGTTTAGGGTTTGTCACAGATGTTTCGAGTGCACCGCGCACTGAGCATTGCTGCTTGGACTGCCGTCCCACTAAGCCCCCCTCGCCCAGGACGGCTTCGTGCCTGTCAGGCTCCTCCCTTTAAAAAAGATACACTGGCCGGCTCTGGAGTGTCGCTCTTGCAGATCCTTTCAAGCGAGCGCGCAGCAAAGGCACCCGGCGTTCGGAAAGGGACTGGTGCTGTACATGCTCGTGTAGCCAAGGTACGCCAATCATTGGCATGCTGTGTAAGAGCACTCAGGAAAAGTTTCGCAAACCGATCTTTCACCGTTCCGTAGCACTGAACCGACTCTGAGCCGCCGCCGGTAGGGCCGATGTCCGCTCTTGTCCATCGCAGCAAGCCCCCACCCACGTTTAAGCCCGTTGGACTTGGAATCGGTGGATTAGAAAACCGTGCAATCACCAGAGTCTTCAAGGCGTTGTGTGGGTTGTCGTGCATTTAGCAGGACAGTCTCGTCTGGCAAAGAGGCTTGGCTCAAGGAAGCGACGTGGTGCACGTCGGGCAGAGCGTCTCCGGTGTCTTGCGCGGTTGTCTGCCTTCCTTTGCTCTCGTTGCGTTTGGGTGGTTGGGTGGTAAGGCGTTGACCCCTATGCCGGTCATGCCAGAGCGACAGCCGCAAGCCAGACATTGGGCCCCAAGTGCAGGCCTTCAAGTTCGAACCGCTCGAACCCATCGAGTCTTCTTTGGACGATGCCCCCTAAACCCTAAACCCTAAACCCTAAACCCTAAACCCTAAACCCTAAACCCTAAACCCGAAACCCTAAACCCTAAACCCTAATTGTGCCAGGGACCAGCGCGTCCAAAGGACGCGGAAGTCTGAAGTCGTGAAAGTGTTGGAAGCTCTTGGGCGCACAAATGCGGTGCGACTGACCCAAGGTCAAAGCGCGTTTCAAGTTGCACGCAGTCCTTGAGGAAGGATGCCTTAAACCCAAAACCCTGAACCTGTGGCGAGAAAGCCGAGCTTAACATATATTTTTGTTTGAGGATGAGGCCTGATTCTGTTTGCCCTCCACTGCCGCCAAGGGTGTTTGGAGCTTGAACAAGAGGGCAAACACACGGTTGTCATTGCGGAGGTCCGCGATATGTGGACAGCTTGGTCGGAGATCTCAGCCCTCACCATCATGGAAACCATCAGCATGTAGATGCCACTAATCCATCCAGCTCTTGGTACGTTTTTAGGGAGCACCGTTGCCTGGCGTACGCTGTGTCAGCATGCTGAGCGCATCCTAGAAGCATCCGCAAGGAGCGGAAAGAAGACATGGTCACCCATGACTCGCGCGAGGAGTCTGCTTCAGCCGAAGAGGTCGAAACTGCAACAGAGACGTGCACACCCGGAGAGAGCTCATGGCCCAGCTGGTACATACCATCGTGCCACCACCCTACACTACTTTGGTCTCAAGCCAGCCTCCCCTGCGCTCTGCGGCTGAGCGGCGCACGCTTGCGATAACGAGCACGCGAAGGTGGCTTCCAGCGCTCTAATCCATCCTCTAGGTTCTGCCCACTAACGGGTTTCGGATGAAGGCCTGTTTGTTCTGAGTGGACGTGGCAAGCCTGGAGGCAGAAAAGAACGGACCTGTGCACGAGCTCTTGCTGGTGATGTTCGCTTCATTCGGCTGTTTCCATAAACCCGCATCCCGCATCCTCGACCGCCCGTTCGCCTGCTGCATGCTTCTTGTGTTTTCTTTTCTAACTCACCTTGCAAGATAGTAGAATAAGAAGCCGATAGGAAGACAAAGCACAACAACTGCATAGAGTTAAACCCGATGCCTTATGCTTCCATCCCAAGCGAAAGATGCCCTTCAGCCATAAACCAAGAACTTCAAATCACAGGTCGCAAAGTTTGAGCTAACACCCGCAGACTTGAGAAGCGCTAAACTAGGGGAAGAGAGCGACAGAGAGAGAGAGAGAGAGAGAGAGAAACCAAGACTCACGATGTCCAAATAAACCCTAAACCCTAAACCCTGAACCCTAAACCCTGAACCCTGAACCCTAAACTCGAACCCTAAACCTTAAACCCTGAACCCTAAACCCTAAACCCTAAACTCGAACCCTAGTCCCGAAACCCTCTATTAATCCTAAACCCTAAACCTTGAAGATCCGCGGTGGAGATGTTGAGCTTCGAAGGTTTGGCCGAGGATCTCGCACTTGTTGTTGGATTCTTGAGAAGGGTTTAGGGTTTAGGGTTTAGGGTTTAGGGTTTAGGGTTTAGGGTTTAGGGTTCAGGGTTCAGGGTTCAGGGTTCAGGGTTTAGGGTAGCAATTTGCAAAACGTGATGATTGTTGTTGAGAATGGATCTGGTGGAGGCTTGCTGCAGATGTTGATGTTTCGGGCATTTTTTGTGGAGGGTGTAAGGGTTAAGGGTTTAGGGGTTTAGGGTTTAGGAACTAGGGCTTAGGGTTCAAGGTTTTAGGGCTCAGGGGTTTAGGGATGGTTTCTGGTTGGTGCTGCTGTGGACTGATGTCGCTCTTGCTTGGCCGGTTCCAAGGCACTTGGATGACGCTCCCGTCTAGGTGCCATTTCACGCGGCCAAGACGCGGAGACTGCGCAGCTCAACGCCGGCTGCCAGGAAATTGGCAGGCATGGCTCCCTATCTGCGGTATATTTTTTGCAGCCCTTGCCGGCCTCTCATTCGGAATGCCTCCGTCCCGTAGGCAACAACCCCTTCAAAGTTCAAGTGTTGTGTGTTGTTTGCTGTGTGTGCTGCGTCGGCGTACGAGCCGGTGGAAGTTCCATATGAAAAAAACATTTTCTTTAGCCAGGAACGCAGTGCCACCTTTGAGTGGCTGTGCATGAGTTCTCGTCAAAAGGGGGGTTCCAATGGAAGGCTGCACCAGCTTATTCGGCCTCACGGGCTTGTATAGTTTACAACGACTCCGACAGCTTTGGCAGTGTGCTAGAGTCCACGGTGTGCTCTCTTGTTGCCTCTTCAGCGTTCGGCTCATCCAGCAGCACATGCCTTGTGACTCATGCTCTGCTACATTGTTAGAAGTCCCTCAAGCTATGAAGTGTCCCTCCACTTCCCTTCGTTGTTCTGTCGACACGAGCTGCGGTTCGGAGCAGCCATGAGCTTGTTGCAGCGCCGAGTGCGGCGAAACGCCCGCCAGACGAAGCTAACAGCTGTGGCAGGCCTTGTTTCGGAAAGATACCACGGGCAGGTAGGTGTGCTGCAGATCGATAGAGGCCTTGCTGAAATTTTCTGCGACGCTCGCGTTGCAGGCCTTTGCCTGGTTGGCTGCACCCTTGGCACGTCCAAGGCAGGCACGCTGCCTGTAGAGTGGCGTGCACCTCCCGCCGGGGCCCTGGTTCGATGTGATTTTGTGGTGCGGTCTATTGGTATTCACATGAACACTTCAAGGCCTCGGCAATTATCACAGACTTTATGCGTGAGACACTCATATATTCGCAAACTCGTTTCAGGCTGAAGATCGTTTGTGATCCGCATTGGAGATATGTGGGTGTGACCTTTGGACTCAGGTGCTGGTCGAGCTTCCTCCGCCGCGAGTCGTCCGCTTCCTCAGCATTTTCTCTTGTTCCCGACTGCGGCACCCCGCAGATCACCCTGCACCCTAAACTATAAACCACTGAACCCTAAACCCTAAACCCTAAACCCTAAACCCTAAACCCCAAACCCTGCATCTTTCGCGCGACCTGCTGCGCGGCAGGTGTTGGAAGCCACGCGCCGGCCCACCAAGCGCGGCACCGTCGGCACCCGATGGGCGCCGATGCCCTCGCCGCAGCAGGTGCCGGGGGGCCTCGTTTTGCAATTTTTCTGGCTGGTTCTTTGTAGGGAATGGGGGAATGCGGTACCCCAAAAACATGCCTTGAAGGGTATATATGGGGCCATGATTCCCTCATTCCATCTAATTCCCTACTAAGACCAGCTTTTCTTTTAGCGGGCTTAGGTTGTAGGGTTTGAGGTTTGGGGTTTGTAGAGTTTAGAGGTTAGGGTTTAGGGCTTACTTTGAATCTACAGCCTCCTTTTCAGGGCGTTAAGGTGCACTGGAAGCAGCTTCTTTGGACACCATGCGGCTCTGTCTTCAGCAAATTCAGCTGCGACGGCACATGGCAGTGTTTCTGCACTTTGACACATATCAGGTTTATACTATACCATATCATATTCTATTATATGACATTACATTATATTATATTATATTGTATTGTATTGTAGTATCTCATGTTATATTGTATTATACGACAGTACTCTCCATTCTATATCAAGTCGGAACTCTTGCTGCCATCTCTTCTCGGTTTCCTTATCGAACTCCATCGGAGGTCTGGGCCCACTCCTGCGTCACGCAGGCAAAGCTGCGGGCAGCACTGGAGGAGAGGCAATGAAAGAGAGACCGAGCTCAGGGTTTAGGGTTTAGGGTTCAGGGTTGAGGGTTTAGGGTTTCGGGTTTAGGGTTCATCACGCCCCTGGCCACACGACCGTGAGGATCCTCACATCACCGCAATCGAAGTCGACGTCGCCATGGGATACTTGAAAGGCCCCCCCCCACCTGCGTGCAAGATCAAATTTTCGGCGCGCGCTTTTCGGGCGCATGTTGTTGGGTCTGGACCCTCTTTTGCTCAGCAGCCAGCATATGCACTTTCATGGATGTTGCCAGGCGAATGCTGGCTCTCATAAGGGATATTTCGTGACGCATATGGGAGTTTACCAAAATAGAGGACCCTTAATATAGATTGGGGAAGCCCCCATATGAAGCCAGGACCGGAGGGCAGCGGAAACGTACTGGTCCCCGTGATGGCGCACCCGCGCATGGCCCAGCTTCATTGGAGCTATGTTGGGATGTCCCCCTTGTATACTGACAGTCCTTAATCGTATGAATAGGGCTTATAGTATACCCTACTAGTATAAGGGGGAACAGCCCAAGAGATGTGGGATGCCATGTTGCAAGCACAAACTCTTCCGTGAAGTTGGATTCATGTTTGTGTTTGGCCTAGCTATTTTGGATGGTAGAGTCGAAGGCACAGGCCCTAGGTTTTTTTGAACCCTAAACCCTAAACCCTGAACCCTAAACCCTAAACCCCAAACCCTAAACCCTAAACCCTAAACCCTAAATCCTAAAACCTAAACCCTAAACCCTAAACCTTAAACCCTACACCTTTTTGAGTGCCCAGGCCTGTCCTGACTTCCGACCTCACCTTCGAAGCATTTCTTGACGCGGTCGTGAACGACGGCCGGCGTCATGTCAAGTTTGACTTCAAGGCCGCTTTGTGTCGACTTTAGGGTTTAGGGTTGGGGTTTAGGGTTTAGGGTTTAGGGTTTAGGGTTTAGGGTTTAGGGTTTAGGGTTTAGGGTTTTTGTGTCGACTTGAGATCTCGTGCACTTGTCGCGCAGTGCATTCGTCACGCCCTACATAGGGGGGTTTAGGAGAAGAAGGGACCCCCAATATAGACCCCAACTAGCAGGATTCCCTTATAGTAAGGACCCCCCAATAAGGTACCCCGTACTTTCGGAAACTTCCCAATATCGGCCTATGGGAGATATGATGTGCTGCGTTTGTGGGTTTAGGGTTTAGGGGGTTTAGGGTTTAGGGTGTAATTGGCAGGACCAGGAATCCGTGGAGCGCTGTTTGCCAAAGCTGGCCGAGCGCAGCGAGCAGCTGGCGGCCAATGGCCAGGTCCTGGCAGAGTGGAGGGTTTAGGGTTTAGGGTTCAGGGTTTAGGGTTTAGGGGGAGGCTTTAGGGTTTAGGGTTTAGGGTTGTGCAGCCAGCGCTTGCTCTTTACAGTCGGATTGTCGCAGCAGGCTGTGTGGTTGAACGCAGATGCGCGGCACTGAGCTGCAGCCGTCAGAGTTCGCCCTAAACCCTAAACCCTAAGCCCTAAACCCCAAACCCTAAACCCTAAACCCTAAGCCCTAAGCCCTAAGCCCTAAACCCTAAACCCTATAACCCTATAACCCTATAACCCTAAACCCTAAACCCTAAAACCCTATAACCCTAAACCCGAAACCCTAAACCCAAAACCCCACCTGACACGCCGGTTTCTCGCTTTCTCGAGGTGCTGCCCGGCCCAGGGCTCCGAGGCTGGCGCTGCACGGTGCCCGCGGAGGCCTTCTTCGATGCCGCGAACCGCTACTGCCCAGGCCTGGAAGAGTGGAGGGTTTAGGGTTTAGAGTTTGGGGTTTAGGGTTTAGGGTTTAGGGTTTGGGGTTTGGGGTTTAGGGTTTAGGGTTAGGGGAATTACAAATGCAACCTCAAGAATCTAATTTTCTAATGGCGCAGAGTTCAAAAGCGTATGAGATGATGAGTAGTAGCACAAGGGAACGAATTTGATGAGCTATCTGAGTGCGACTAAGAGCATTAAGAATAGCCAGTGAAGCTCATGGTGAGGCTCTTCAACTTCTTCAAGCCCTAAACCCCAAACCCTAAACCCTAAACCCTAAACCCTAAACCCTAAACCCTAAGCCCTAAGCCCTAAACCCTAAACCCTAAACCCTAAAATCCTAAACCCTAAGCCCTTAAACCCCTAAACCCCAAACCCAAAAAAAACCCTTCTTCGGCAGGGGCGCACCTGAGCCTCGGCTGGAAGGCGAACCCGGTCGGCCTGGAGAGCTACACCGAGGCCCTGTTCTTGTCTGTGGGTGGGAGGAGGGGGGGGGGTAAGGGTTTAGGGTTTAGGGTTTAGGGTTTAGGGTTTAGGGTTTAGGGTTTAGGGATTAGGGTTTCGGGTTTGGAGTTTAGGGTTTAGGGTTTAGGGTTTAGGGTTCGGGGTTTAGGGTTTAGGCTTTAGGGGGGGAAGGGGGCGGGTAGGGTGGGGGTAGGGCTAGGGTGAAGGTAGGGTAGGGGTAGGGCGGGGGGTAGGATAGGGTTTCAAGGGTTCTTAAAGGGTTAGGAAAGGTTTGAAGGGTTTTGGGCTTTTAGGGTTAAGTGCTTTAGGCTCCAAAGCTCGTGTGCTCGTTTCACAGACTGGGCAAGCAGCCCTAAACCCTAAACCCTAACCCTAAACGCTAAACGCTAAACGCTAAACCCTAAACCCCAAACCCCAAACCCTAAACCCTAAACCCTAAACCCTAAACCCTAAAGTGGCAAGAAAGGGTGCAACGGTGCAGGCTGACTGCAAAGCCATGGCGGAGCTATGCAGGCAGGAGGGGGTGCTGTTGCCAAACCCTAAACCCCTAAACACTAAACCCTAAACCCTAAACCCTAAACCCCAAACCCTAAACCTAAACCCTAAAACCTAAACCCTAAACCCTGAACCCTGAACCTAAAACAGAGATACTACTGGTACAGCCACTTTTCACCGGTGAGTTGGGGCAGCTCTGCTTGTCTCTCCCAATAAAAGCATCGCAGGATTTCCTTTAGTTAGTGGATGCTAGTGTTGGGGTGGATATGCACCCGTAAACACTAAACCCTCAGCCCTAAACCCAAAACCCTAAAACCTCAAATCCTAAAAGCCCTAGAACCCTAGAGCCCTAAACCCCTGACACTCTAAAACCCTACAACCCAAAACAACCCTACAACACCCTTCCGGGGCCCTACCAAACCGTACAAAACCCGATAAAACCTTGTGAAACCTGCAAAATACCCTATAAACCCCGAAAAACCCCGATAAAACCTCAAAAGACATCCAGGCAGCACCCTAAAAACCCTAAAAACCCTAAGCCCCAAAACCCTAACCCTAAACTGTAAGCCCTAAACCCTAAACCCTAAACCCTAAACCCAAGCCCTAAACCCTAAACCTGAAACCCTAAACCCTAAACCCTAAACCCTAAACCCTAAACCCCCCAGGCAGCACAACCAGGGAGCCAAGGGCGGCGTCGTCTTCGCTGTGGCGGCGCGCACCGCCTCGAGGAATCTCGAGCCGCTGGTGGCTCTGCTCGCGCAGGCAGGGCCGACATTTTTTTGGGGACTCTTATCATATAATCTATTACAGTACCATATGATATACGATATTATATGTTAATATATATATATAACATGCTATAGTATAGCATATCATATAATGTAGTATCATATAGGAGAATATTTGCCCATTCTCTTGAGTCCACCATAGCCCCACCGAATGGAAACCTGGCTGATGGTGTCATGTAGAATTCTGCCCTTGGCAACGCGCAAGATGGATTCTCGAAGCAAAGCACGCGAAGAGTCACAAGGCATGTTGAGACGTCCAACCTTTATTAGGGGTTTCATTGCAGCCGTGCAGCGATGACTGCCGCGCTTCGAGACGTAGCTATGTTCCGATGAGTGGATGCATGGCACTGAGTGAACCAGCTTTCTGCTTACGGAAAGGTGCCAGGAAGCCAGCTGCTGTTCTGGACAGGCAGCTCGGTAGGGTGTCCCTCTGAGCTTGAGATAAGATCGAGTATATTGCAATATATAATACAATATAGTCATATGCAGTAGAATTATTTATTTCTATATCATACAGTTTACCCATATGCATTAGAAAATGATGAAATTAACTGTTGCTAATACATAGCAATCTAAGAGGACAACAACAATTCGATGGCATTCGAGCCTTCTCTGACTGTCGTGCATCTCTCGTGGGTCGAAGTTCCTCGCGTGGCGAAGTTCGCCGGAACTCGTTCAGGCCGAATTTTGTTGGTGATTTTGGCTTTGGGGTTTAGGGACTTTAGGGATTCCTTAGGGTTTAGTGTTTAGGGCTTAGGGAGCTACGATCTATCTGAGCTCCATATGTTCCTCCTACAAAGAGTGTGCATGCGGAAGTGCAGCAGAGCCGCCTTCCGGGAGCCATGTTGGTGGCGGTGGAAGCTGATGTTTGACGTAGTTTTCGAGACTTGCAGACTGAAAGTCGCAGAGCAGGAATGATTCTTAATTGTTGATACGATAAAAGGAAAATTCGTACTACGCTCGGCGAAGTCCACTGGACACCCACTGCGATAACTGAACCCTAAACCCTAAACCTCGGGGTCAGGGGGCGTTTCGGTTTTAAGATTATTGTTACGTGATTGTAAACCCTAAACCTTAAACCCTCAACCCGAAACCGGCTGGTTCTTGGTCATCAACCCCAGACCCTAAACCCTGAACCCTAAACCCTAAACCCTCTGCCCGCTTCTCGGAGGCACCTGGGAGCCGCCCCTCCTCGCCACGACGAAGGGCAGGCTCCGAGAGGCGTTCTGGGAGAGTGTTGAAGGTGTTTAATGGGTTTAGGGTTGTTTAGGGTTTGGGGTTTAGGGTTTAGGGTATAGGGTTTAGGGGTTTAGGGGTTTAGGGGTTTAGGGGTTTAGGGGTTTAGGGGTTTAGGGTTTAGGGTTTAGGGTTTGGGGTTTGGGGTTTGGGGTTTGGGGCTTGGGGGTTTAGGGGTTTAGGGTTATCGGCTCTCATTCCTACTCTAAATTTTCACGCTGCGCGACCTGCCTCAATATATTCTTAAGCAGAAAGCCAACACCCCAAAACCCCGAAGCCCCAAAAACTCCAAAACACCCCGAAACACCCCAGACCCTAAACCCTAAACCCCAAAAAACCCACTCTAAACCCGAACACCTCTAGACCCTAAACCCTAAACCAAAAGACCAAGAAACCTTAAGCCATGCCCCTGGACACTAACCCTAAACCCTAAACCCTAAACCCTAAACCCTAAACCCTAAACCCTAAACCCTAAAGCCTAAACCCTAGACCCTAAACCCCCTTAAACCCCCATAAACCCCCTTCAAACCCACTTAAACCCCCAGAGGCCTTCGCGGCGCTGGGCCTGGGCCAGCGCTGCGGCTTCGACGTCCGCACCGTGGACCCGCAGAGGCGGTCCCTTTTTTTTTGGGGTAGCTTTTGAACTAGGGTTTAGGGTTTCGGGTTTAGGGTTTAGGGTTTAGGGTTTAGGGTTGAGGGTTGAGGGTGGGCTTTCTGGGGCTGTTGGGCTTTTGGGCTTGGGGCTTAGTGTTGCTGGCGTTGATGGATTTAAAGGTTCATTTTTTTTTAAACGGTGTCCTCTTGAGTGATTTTCAAATTAGGGTTCAGGGTTTAGGGTACCCTGAGCCCTAAACCCTAAATCCTAAACCCCTAAAACCCCTAAACCCTAAACCCTAAACCCTAGACCCTGAGGTGTTTCTGGGACTGGACGGCCCGGGTGACTGACCTCCTGACTGACGTCAGCTACACGATTGCGAGCGCATTCGCTCCCAAGCGTGCGACAATCCAGTAGCCAAATCAGTTCATTTGCCACTGGCATCCCGAATTTCTTTGCAAATATGCATCAGTGCACCTGTGCAGCTTATGCATGCTGAACGAATAACTCTTGTACAGAGTGCTGTACTTGTGTGTGGGAGACAGCGGTCGCTGTGACAGTGCTGCTCTAATGACGATGCCAGCACAGTCTACAGCAGACCGGGAACCCCTCTTGCCCTGTAGGGAAAACTTCATAGCCCTTTCTGCGCAAGTCCATTTTTCATGTTCCAGGTGAGCGTGGCAGCTGCAAGGCGTTGCAGGTTGGTTACACAGTTACCCTAAACCCTACACCCTAACCCCTTACCCCTAAACCCTAAACCCGAAACCCTCAACCCTAAACCCTGTTGTTGGGCTCGGCTCGTTTCGCGGCCGCCGCGACTGCGCTTGGGGAAAGTTTTGTTCGAGTGTTCGAGGCCAAAGCCCCTCGTGAGGCAGCTTTGAACCCCGCCTCGTGGGGTGTGTGGTTGGTGCCCAGGACTTGAGCCTGGAGCTGATAGTACAAGTATCATTATTGTTATCATCGTAGCTTTGCTGTAATTCTTCTTTTTGCTAATGTGGGTTTTATGTGGAGCTGATCGTAGCAAGAGGTTCGATTTCTCAAGTCCTGACCCTTAGCGACGTTGTCACACTGCCACAAGTAGTGTGCAGTGGCCATGCCAAGCATCCATCCCAGCGTCCCGAATCTTGCCCAATAGGCAGTGCATGCAGACTATTTTCGAGCTGTACAGGGCCGGTGCAGTGTCCCACGTCATGCCGAGCTTTCCTGCGTCACTGTGCCGTGCTGCTTACTGTTGCCTAGCAGGGAGTGAGTGGAATTAGGGCCCTATACATACCCTTTAAGGGATTATTAATAGGGTACCCTATCTCCCCCATTCCCTGCTAACCAACAGTAAGGTTGTGCTCGACTGAGTGCTCGACCTTCCAGTTTTCTGTGCGGTGCCTCGACGGAGTGCACCCTCTGCACACGGCAGGAAGGCGAGCGTTGCTAGATCTTGCGACCCCGAGGCGCAAGACAAAAAGGGTTTAGGGTGTAGGGTTTTATGGTTTTGGGTTTTTTTGGGGTTTTAGGGTTTTAGGGTTTTAGGGTTTTAGGGATTTCGGGTTTTAGGGCTTAGGGTTTTAGGGTTTAGGGTTTTAGGGTTTAGGGTTTAGGGTTTAGGGTTTAGGGTAGCCCTGGTATTCTTGGCAGACGGTGTGACCTGCAGCACTTGAGCATGTTGTCAAGCACGCTAAGAACGCGAGAACTGACCAATTCTGAAGAAGCCGGACCCGCTAGCGACCCCGCCCAAATGTTTTGCAGGTGTCCAGCAAGCTTTGGTTGTTTAAGCGGATTCTTTGAACCCCCTAAACCCTAAACCCCAAACCCTAAACCCTAAACCCCAAACCCTAAACCCCAAACCCTAAACCCTAAACCCCAAACCCTAAGCCCCAAACCCTAGACCCTAAACCTGAAACGCAAGCTCCCTGCCTTGATAACAAAGGCCTCGAACAAGCAAAGCCGAACTGTTTTTGGCGCCTGTTGGTGAGTTTCGGTTTGAGGGTTTAGGGTTTGGGGTTTAGGGTGTAGGGTTTCGGGTTTAGGGTTTTTAGGCTTTCTGAAATTCGGATTCAGTTTAAGAGTCAGGGCTTGCACGGCCGAGTGCAACATGTTCAGCATGTTTCAGGGGAGGCGGTGTTTGATTCTTGTTACGGAATGCGCTCGTGCCACTCTTCTTGTGTCCCATCTATTCGGAGCAATGCAGCCTCTGGCCGAAGCTGCGAAGCAGGGGTTTGTGGGGGCGGCATCCGAATAGTGTACTTAGAAATTGAGAGAAAGCGGCGGTTCAGCCACCTCCTCTTCCTACACAGCATGAAGCCTTCCACGGATTTCATCATGAGTCTGCGGTTTTGGCTGGTCCAGGCGTTTTGCATCTTCCAATGGGAGTTTACGAAGATTGGGCCCTAAGATAGTCCCCCAAAGTAGTAGGATTCCCTTATAACAAGGACCCCAAGAAGGTACCCCTAATTGTTGCAAACCCCCAGCCATGCTTCCATCTCGATGTGCGAGCGCGGGCTGCTGGCAGCAACTTACTGCTGGTTAGTAGGGAATGGGGGAATTACGTACCCTACTATATACCCTTGAAGGGATTATACGGGGTACCCTATATTCCCCCATTCCCTAGTATATACCCTTTAAGGGATTTTACAGGGTACCCTATATTCCCCCATTCCCTACTAAACCAACAGTAAGGCAAGTCGCAGCGGAGGATGAGGAGGAGGATGCGTCTGACTCAGAGGATCTGGAGGAGCAGGTTCGCCGCTTGCTTCCAGAAGGCTATGATGCTGGCGAGCCTGTGCATGTCTCGAAAGTGGCAACTTGGGTGACTGGTGGACGAAAGTACGAAGTACCAGCCTGTGGTAGTTGATATGCCAAAAGTACCAGATCTTGGGCAAGCTAGCAGGGAAAAGTATACGGAGAGGATGTTTGGCATCTTTAAAAAATCAAGCATAGTTGAGGCCCTGCCTTGCAAGACTGTTGCATGAAAAGCCCGTGAGTCTGTGAGTGCAGCTGCGAAGGTTCTTGGAGGGGTTCATGGGTACTTCTAACCCCAATTTATAAGTCTACTTCCAACCTACTTAGAGGACTTAGGGGACTTAGGGGGGCTTACAATTGGGGCCAGAAGTACCCTGAACCGCCAGGACCCCTAAACCCTAAACCTTGAACCTTAACCCCTAAACCCTAAACCCTAAACCCTAACCCTCAGCAGGGGAACCCACGAAGGTAGGACCCTGCATCCCGGA